ATTTATCCTGTCAAAGAAAGAGACCTTAATTCTGAAACTCATAGAAAATGGAAAGAAAAAGAAAAAATAAAACTGTATAGCAAGCAAACTACTACCAAGCTCTCAGATATGCTCATAACACCAGTTCGACCAACAGTTCCAAATGTGGGACGCAGTGCAGTCACCCCACAACGAGCAGCAGGGTAAGTTATGGAACCAGATGTTTCTGAACCAATAGCGAATGGAACCATACCTATATGTAAAGGAAAGAGAATGTCCAAGTTGAACGTGTGAAGCTCCAACTAGTTATGGAAAGTGCTCGCTAATGACAGAAATACACCTCACCACATGAACACATTTTTCACCCAAAGAGAACAATGTTATGCTGGTATAATACAAGAAATCAGTGCCATAAAGAGCACCATAATCCAGGAAGATACCTGCAGAGGTGCAAGCAGCTGGTCCAGCAGATGAACCAGTGGAGTATTCCTCAATATTCCAAGGATTCCTTGTCCTGCCTCCAAACCAGATATCATCGTACGCCAGTGACCCTGAAACGAGTTTTGCAACAAGAACTCCCCCAGCAGACCTCAGCCTGTATCATCCAGAATTATCCTTTATCAATACAATGTCAAAGAGTACTAGTTGTAGCATCTGCAATATTCTAGTACCAGGTACCTTTTATACACCCAAGCTTCAATATCAAGAACTTGATCTTTAAAAGTCTTTGAGCCCCAAGTCGTCCTGTAATGTGGGACTGCAATGATGTCCTTTAATCCATATGGAATCCCATGTAGAGGACCTATGCAAGTCAATATTTTCACATGATATTAGCTATAATGTGGTTTGGAAGCAAATTCCAGAATAGAACAAATAAGAAAATTGGAAACACGTGCAGATGACAAATAAAAACAACTGCTGCTCACTTAACTGTTTTCTAAGGTTTCTAACTAAATAAAAAGTATGGAAGCATGATGGCGATTATGTTTTTGAACTAGCCCTATACTTTAAGATCTTTGTATTCACAGGCATCTGTTAAGATTTGCCAGTCCATGGAAATATAAATCACTGCAAATCCAGTGTGGAATTAGAAACAATGGATAATTACCAAGGTATTTGCCTTTCACAAGTAAATGATCGGCCTCTTTTGCCTGCTTGTATGCTAATTCCTCAGTGATAGTGACTACTGACTCAAGGACAGGACCATACCTGCCACAACAGCACCAGTAAAGAGTCTTATAAATACTAACAGATGATACTAAAACACCAGAAAGATTGGTGATACCTTTTCAATCTCCTTATAAAGATCCCCGTTAGCTCCTCTGACGTAATTTGTTTTGTTTTAATGAGTTGCCCCAATTCAAGGACCTGAGGCATCCATAAATTATATTTGAAAATGGAGCAATTAGTCACACAATATATGGAACTGAATGCATGATCATATGCATCATGCTTTAAAACTATATGGATATTATGGACCTACACTCATGAAGGCAATATCTTCATCACTTTTTGGCCTCCTTACACCTTCAAGAGAAGGATGACTGAACCTCTTGGTCGCCTGCTGTAAACTTTCATTTGTCCGTGCAGGGTTGAAAACCAAATAAGATGGATAATGCAATCCTCCATTTTCAGAAGCCACTAACTTTCGATTGGTTTTGATAATTGGAACATTAAACTCTTTTGCTGCCTTTTCAATATCCCGTACCTTGAGAAAACCAGCACTTGCATATAAGAAACACCAAATGAACATCAAAATATACAATTTGTTAAACGTCAGCAAAATACCTTATTATCACTAAAGAAGCTAGCATCAAGTATCTTGAACAGACTTTGGAGCTCAGAATCATGTTTAATCTTTTTCAAGCATTCACTACTGTGGACATCCAATTTCCTGCTGTCCTGGTCAAGTATTCTCAAGAACATCAACACAATAAAATAATTAACTTAACATCATCCTAGCTTCCAAATGCACTACCTGCACATACAGGTCGAGGATTGACCCCAGACTCCCTGATATACAATTTCCCAGATTTTTTTATATGAGCTCACCTGTTTTGCAAATGTTAGTGGTGCATGTTCGGATTTTTTCAAGGATCAAATGACAGTAAGAGTAATGAGATATACCCCAAAATAAGTGTCTAAACTTTTAACAATATAAACTCTATAAGTTGGTTTCAAAATTTTCACACACTAGATTTACCGACTTGAAAGAACCTTGCCGAAAACATATCTCCACATTTTAATGATACTCCCAAATATACATAGATAGATGCTAATGCATCAAGCTGGACTTAGCGCCAACAGCTGGCAGAATAAAGATTCCTTATTAACTTTAGTAACAGGAGAGCAATTATGTGACCTCAAGCTAATGGTTTCAAGTCTCTCGAAAAATGACGGATACCGTTTGATGATCAATGTGGCCCGAGATCCACTGTGAAACAGTTCTATGTTGAAAGAAAGGAATCATATAATTTAAGATATGTTATTCAGTGTTCCAAAAAAAAAAAAGGAGTGAGCGAAGAAATTGTGATGAGAGTGTAGTGACAGAGGAACGAAATCTAGCAGGAATAGCATCTATCTGAGTAGAACCTCAACTAAAGCAAATGTGAAGTTTAACCAATCAACCACTGAAGCAAATATGAAGTCCCTAGCCTCAGTAATTATAAAGAGCAAAAGTACAGAACTCAGAAATGTCTGGTCTGTAGCTTTCTTTCATTGTAGTCTAATAACAAGTAAAGCCTCATTGTACATCTTCTGTTTAATCCATCAATTAACTTCCAAAGCTTCATTCAACAGCAAACGCTACTATTATTCAACATTTAGAACAAGGTTTTTAACCAAAAATATAAGCCATATACTAAATTTTGAGCGCAGTACGTTTTTTTTTTGGGATATGTTCACACTTCATATCAGACTCAAGTGAAAAGGAAGATACATGGTGGCTTTCCAATGAAAACAATTACTCAAGTATCAAAGCCAGCAATTAGAAGAAGTCAGAACTACTAATGACTTCTTCCACACACCCAGAAATAGACAATCGAGGGGAAACTTGTCATTAAAAGACAAAGAAAAAAGAAAAAAGGAAGAAGAAGAAGAATCTCTTATTTTTACTACACTAGAACATCTGTTGCAGGAAAAACTCAGATGCAGTGCAGCAACGATGTAGAGTCATACTGCACAATAAACCATACACATTTTCTAAAGAAGCTGCTTCTTGGGTCCCCTTTAGGCCTTTATGATGATTCATTCACTTATAATATGAAAATAAGAACCGGAAGAGAGACAGAAATTGAAGTTCAAGTAGTACCATATTGGTAGAGTTGGCGGCAAGTACCCGGCGATGGTCGTCTTGGATGAAGCGGTGCAAGCTACATTCTTGGCTGCTGTACCCGTTAAGGAGTAGGACACAAACTGCAGAAAACTCCAGCAGACGTGTCCATCCCAGAAGCCTTGTACGACACATGGTGGACTACTAAGTTTACCACGTTATCCAACGAGTGAAGAGTTCAGGTCCCGCCTCGTCTTTGGCCTCTGCAATTAATCAGTCACAGTCTGCTAATTTGTACTCTGATTTTGTAGTTTGGAGCTCAAATCTTGCTCGAATTCCAGCACTTTTTCGTACTCTGAAAGTCAAGATTAGACTGATTAGACCGGCGGAAGTTTTGGCTTCGTTTGGGAGCGGAGGATTTGGACAGAAAAGAAAGGGAAAGAAGAGAAAATCATTTGTTAGTTTTTAGTAGAAAAGAAAAAAAGGGAAATGGAAGGATTCAAGAGGATGAATGGTAGATAAAATTTTTCCTTCTAAATGGGAGAGAAAGTTGGAGGAAACTTATGAAAGTTTTTTAAAATACTTATTTTATCCTTAAAAATGTCTTGAATAAATATTTAATGACATTGATATCCAAAATCATTTTATTAATTCTCAAAATTCCCAAGCAACATAACAACCCCTTCTCTTCTCTTCTCTCGTTACTTAAGTTTTCCCTTCTTCTCTTTTCTATCCTAAACTCCCAAACTTAGCAAGGGAATTTGTACATTAGGTCCGCCAGTTTCATGTCTTATCTTACTATAGGATACGCATAGTACAGAGATAAGTTTCTTCAGTTTCTTGCTTCTTTCCCATTTGGTAATATGATTTTTCTCAACTTTTACTTCAGCAAATGTATCCATTTATATTTTACTGTAATAGCATAAGCAATCTCTAACATATGATCAATCTTTGCCTATTAGAAATTTAATAACAATAATATCTAAACAATGGTAGTGTTTTTCTTTTGGGTCCCATGGAAAATCTATCTTGATACTTGAGTAATGCTAGTAGCTTTCCTTGACCTTTTTCAGCAAATAAAACTTCACTCTCTCATAAGCAACCATTTATAATATTCAGGTCTAAACTCTAAAAGTGGATACAAAGCATACACTTTGAGAACATAGAAATTCTATTTTTTTTTTTTGGTCAAAAAGAGACTCCAATCTTGATAAGGGAGGAAGGGAAAAAGACAGAATTTAAAAGTAAAATAGAAAATTTCATGAGATCAATAATGTCTCTACGAACTAAGGCCCCATTTGACAAGTGAGTTTTTTGAGTATTTGTCTAAAATTTTACTGTAACTTACTATAAAAGTTTTTAAAATTTTTTTGAAGTGTGTGTTTTTTTTTTTAAATATTTTGAAATGTATAACTTAAAAATTTAAATTTTTTTTTGAGGTTAATGTAATTAAAGTTTTTAAAAAACTTATAGTAGAAAACTTGACAAAAAATTTGTCTGTGAAACAAGGCCTAAGTTAGATTACTTGAACATCAACTTCTAACTTACAATTAACTGCCTTATTTAAAAAAAATTTTTATTGGCTGCATCATGAGACAAGTTGGGGGAAATGGTATTTGCATTTCTCAATTAACCTCTAGAACCCCTTTTGTTAAATGAATTGGATGAAGTGGCTAAAACAGAAGTTGGGCCATTCTCCAAAGGGAAGAGAGACTTGAAAAAAAAAAAAAACTATCGTAACGTGCACAAGTAGCTTTTTTTCGTTGAAAGCCCGTGTACGTTGACCACCGGCCTTTCAGGGTTCCAGTTAACCACCGGCGATGCCATCCAAGAACGCAATTAATAAAATAAAAAGAAAAAACATTAGAAAAGTGAACATAAAGAAGATGATGGGCCCGGTTGTAATATCCACGCAGAATCTTTTGATATTTGACCTGGGCATTGCCGAACTGGGGCTTTTTCTACTCCTTGAATGCTGGCCATTTCTTTGTTTAAGCGAGGGAGTGCATTGCTCAGGAATCTGCCTATAAAGGTTCTTCCTTGACTCTCTTTTATTCGGTAAGTTTAATTCTTTACCTGACCGCCACTGAAAAAGTGAAGAGCTACTAGCTTTATATATATCTATCTATCAATCTATGTTTGTGTGTGTGTGTGTGTGTGTTTTTAAAAAAAAAAACAAAAACAAAAAAGCTTTTTTCCCTTTTGTTTTTTCTTGTTGATCGCATTTTGGATTCTTTTGTTTTAGAACTGTATATGTCATCTATAGATTTAAATTGATGATTTTGTTTCTCCTTTTTTTTTTTTTTATGTCTTGGGGCGTGTGGTTTTAGAGCTAATTGTTATCATCTTGGTAAAGTTAGATTTAGGTGAGTTGGCAGATGGCTTTTAATGTTTACAGATTTTTCACATTTGTGGGAAAATATATGTCAACCATGAACGAGTGATTGTAGTTCTAAACCCATACCTGGAAGCCTTTGAAACACTTTTTTCTTTTGAATTACATCCATTTACCAGTTCTGGTGATTGAGTTACAAAATAGCAAGGAAAAGTGGTGCCAGTGACAATAAGGTTCAGGGGTGTGTCGTGTTGATTGGAAAGGTAATAGGTGGCTAAACAACAATGTTCAAGAATAATAAAGTTTACCCACCTAGGAGCCTATCTATCGAGGGATATTGCCGTGCTCTTAAATGTGTATCGCCCATAAGCTTGACGCTCGACGCTGGAGGGCGGAGGGAGGGAGTGCTGGAGCAAAAGGAGGAAGTGGTTGGACTGAGGTTGTGCTGGATGTTAATAAGATGGGTAGACTAAAATTTCATTTCCCAGTTGTCTATGTAAAGAGGAGTAAATTGTTTATGCCTTTTATATGTGGAAAGTACTTTCACATGAAGAGAGTACTAACCAGAAAAACTTGTTCTGGCATGTCTCTAGCATGGCCAATTGAAGGGAGGACATTTTGCTACTTTTGGCTAGTGTTTGTAGCCATAGAATTGCTACAGGGACTATTTTGGCTCGTGTTTGCAGTCATAATTTTCCCAATCATGCGGCACTCAGATTCCTACTAACTTTAATGCTATATCTATTGGATTGCATTTTTTGAATAGGGGCTCTGCCTGGCAATGGTTGCTTATGATAATTGGAACTGATACGTTCACTTGAGACATTTAAATATCCCAGACCTTTCATTTCTAGATTTTGCCAAGCAGCTATCCTTGATATTTGGTGGTAATTCAATTTCACTAACATTTGTAAAATCGAAGCCCTACAACTTGCATTGAGTAGGAGAGGCAAAATGCAGCTACTTAATGCAGAAGCAAAAGCTTCAAAATTTGAATCTTACCTTTAGAGGAGAAATCAATAGACAAATGGAAACTTCCGTTGGAGATTTTGATTCTGAATTATCATCCTTGTGTTAATTTATATACTCTGGTGAGCAGTTGATGATGAACTTTCTCAGTTAGTTTGGTTTTGCTTATGATTCCTTGTTTGTGATCTTTTGTGGTTTATTTATTTTTTGGGAGTGTGTATGTATGTGTTTTTTTTTGGGGCAGGGGGAAGAGGGGGGGGGGGGTGTTGTTTGTCCATTGTTAATTTGTTTGTCAGCTGTCAGCAGCTTTACTTGCTTGTGTTTTACTTTTTCTGTTTAACGGATTGGCAATATTTTTCTGTGACAACCTCAGTTTTGGCAAATCATAGTATGTCTTATCCTCCCTCAAAAGATTTTTAGGGTTGTCCTGGGTTTTTCCTTTTGTAAACCCTTAGGATAGGTGGAGAAATTTTGTAAAAGACATTATTCACCTCATATTTCTCTATATCAACTTCAGTAGTTCTTACTGTTTATAAGAAGAGATAATGTTTTTCAATCATTTAGGGAAGCATTTCGCAGTTTATAGTTTCAAAGTATGCGACCACCACAAGAAAAGTTTGTACTGCTTGGCTGAGAGGTTTGTCATTGGATGCAGACATGCTCAAAGTCCCCCAAAATCAGGTTGCTGGTCACCAAGCTGGTGGGGGAAAGCTTGGGCCACTTGTAGATGATTCTGGGTACTTTTACAAGCCTCTCCAAGGAGATGAACGCGGATCTAAAGAGGTTGCATTTTACACTTCATTTTCTTTAAACACTAAGGTTCCAGATGACATCCGCAAATTCTTCCCGATCTTTCATGGCACTCAGCTTGTTGAGGCATCTGATGGATCTGGCTTAAAATCTCACCTAGTTTTGGAAGATCTTACTTTAGGCCGTGTCAATCCTTCAATAATGGACATCAAGATTGGCTCCAGAACTTGGTCCCCACAAGCATCTGAGGACTACATAGCGAAGTGTTTGAAGAAGGATAGAGAATCATCAAGCCTCCTGTTAGGATTCAGGTTATCAGGTCTACAGTTTTATACCAACAAAGAATCAGTATTCAGGAAACCTACAAGGAAATCTGTTCAGAGTCTTTCTGCCGAGGAAATTAAGTTAGTTCTGAAAAATTTTGTTTCTTCTAACACTTCTACAGAGTTGGAATCAAAACCAGATTGTGCTTTTGCATCACTTGTTTTTGGTGGTCCCACTGGTATTTTGTCACAGTTATTTGAGTTGAAATCATGGTTTGAGGATCAAACTCTATACCATTTTTATTCTGTCTCAGTTCATATGATGTATGAAAAACGGCTTGCTTCAGAAGGAAGGAATCCTGGAGCAGAGATTAAGCTTATTGATTTTGCACATGTTGATGAAGGCAGGGGTGTCATTGATCACAATTTCTTGGGTGGGATCTGCTCTTTAGTAAAGTTCATTTCTGAAATTCTTAGGGCTACAGATGACTGCCCAACCAAAGCTTGTTCAAAAGATGCTCAGAAGAAACACTATATAACTGATAATGGAATAAACTGATTGAAGTAAATTATCTGCTGGTAGGGGCTTTTAATCTCTATTTTCTGCTTGTCATCTTTTTCTTTTTTTTTTCTCCATTTCCTTGTAAAGTTCTATAATCTGATGGTGTTTGATGGTGAATACTTAAGATTTTCTGTGGATTCTGGAAAAGTGTAAAATATCATTCAGAAACCAAAAAGAAATTCAACCAAATGTTCATGTTAAGTTGCTTTAAAACATTTAGGTCTTAAATGAGCATGCAGTATTCAAACTTTGCTTAGTTAGATAACATAATTTTTATATTTCCACATGAATTTTTCATCTACCAAATATGTAGTTTTCCACCTGCAGTACAATGGACCTTGAAAATTTGTAGCAAGTACAAGTGTTTCGTGGGCTGTTTTTTGTTTTTAACTTTACCTAACTCAATTTGTTTCTCTTGCAGGGTGATGAAGTGGAGAATTTTTTTCTTTCCCTCTGTGACAAGTTACAGAAGTGAAGATCAGATCGAGCTGTTGGATTTTGCTGATTCGGATATGGTTAACTTTACTTATGGTCAACTATTGAACATGTTCAGAAGATGCTAGTTGGGACTTGGGAAGCAACTGTTGCTTTATATTGTACTTGTTCAACAAATATTTTAGGCCCTAACTCTGTTCGCAGTTTACTTACCACTTCTAGCAAGCTTTTCTGATTGGTCCTTTTGTCTTCTGGATTATTGAGTATTGCAGCTACGGTTACTGGACGAAACTTTCCCAGAGTAAGTGACTTTTTTTTTTTTTTTTTTGCGCACATCTAACTTAGTCTACTCTTACTCCTACTTCTAGGGGTGGAGGGGGGGAGATGAAACATATTCTATGGCGTGACCCAACTGAGTCGGGTTCAAGGAAATCTGACGGGAACTAAACCACCATCAGATGGGTGTACCACATTCTCGTATGAATTTAGAACAAATTTCATATTAAGTCATGTTGACGAGAGAAATCCACCCTTCTTTTTCTTTATTTGATGACCAGGTGGCTTTGGTAGTTTCTTCTCTGAAACATTAACAAGGAAAGACTAGACTGGAACATTATGTCTCAAAAGTAGGGACATCTAACCTTTCGACAAGGGAAAGTCACCTCCATTTTAAGCATTGAATGAGGAGTGAAGTGAACTCCAAACATCTCAATGTTACCCCTTCAGATGCAACTCCCGTACTTTATATTCACATCGAAAACAACTCAAATATCAATCTATGTAATAAAAACAGTAATGAATTCACCTCCTCTCTCTCTCGGTACCTTATTGATAGCATGCTTCGTTGTCTGCCATTACCTATGTCAGGCAGCAGACACGGATAATCTCCATGACACTTGTCCAACAGATACAACCCAAAAGACCGTCTTTATCAATGGCTTTCCATGCAAGAATCCAGGCAGTGTTTCGGCTTCTGATTTTAAATCCTCCCTGTTGAATGACAAGGGTGATACAGACGATATTTTTCGTTCCAGCACGACTCTGGTCACAGCTGCGGAATATCCAGGGCTCAACACTCTCAGCTTGTCAGTTGCGAGGACTGACTTAGAAGTGGATGGCCTGGTAATGCCACATGCTCATCCGAGGGCTTCTGAGATGCTCTTCGTTAGTACAGGTGTGGTGATTGCAGGATTTTTTGATACCAATAATGTCATGTTCCGGAAAGTTCTTAGAGAAGGGGATGTATTCGTCTTCCCAAGAGGTCTTCTGCATTATTGCTTGAACAATGGGTTTGAGGATGCCACCGTTTTCTCGGTGCTGAATAGCCAGAATCCTGGGCTTGCAAGTATTCCTGGTGCCGTCTTTGCACCTGATGATTCAGAATCTATGGAGAAATTGAAACAGAGATTAATCTCCGTGTCAAGATTGGACTATGAACGGCTCGAAAACACGACTTTCTTCTAGTGAACTTCGTATTACAGCTTAGAAAATGATGTATTTTTCTTGTAGATGTGGAAAAATCAATTCCTTTTACCTTTCTTTGAGAATTATAGTATGCAGTTGCTGGATGTGAATTTTGATGTACAAAGATGTCAGCAGAGTTCAAAAAAGTGCTTGGGAAAATTTGGAAAGTGCCTGAAGAATATTTTTGAAGACTGACGCAAAGAAATGATATCAGTACCATAAAGAAATTCTTGTTAGCTAATCTAATCAAATCAGAAAAACAAAAACAAAAACAAAAAATTCATACCGAGTAAACAAGAATATGCTATAGTTTTTTATATATTAATTAATCAGTCAACTTACTTGAACTCTACTAAGAGCTTGCCTTGATTATTTTATGATTTAACTTTTAGTTGAATTATAAATTATAATTTATAATCAAGCTTGCAGTTTTGGACCCGCCAATTCTACATTCACAAACGAACGAAACGTTTGCCTGTTTTATCTACACAGCTTTAGGAATTGTGCCAGAACGTAAAGACAAACGCTTCAGGATTTGTCAACAACTTTACGCGCCAAAACGCACCTATAAATAACTGCCTATACAAGATGCGACTGTCCAGAGAGAGAGAAAGAGAGAGTAAGTCAGAAGAGTTTTCTGTAATCTGCGTCTCATAGAGAAAGAAGTCACATTTCTTTCGCGAGAGAGAAAGACGTAAATGGGGATTCTCTGCTTCGTACTGGATTTGAGAAGCCTCTCGCCTTCGCTACTTCGAGACTTAAAGCAGGTTCTCTATGCGTCGCGACACTCGAATCTTCATCGCAGCGTTCTCAAATTTTAGCCTTTATTTGATCAATTTCGTCTTAATCGCATCTACGATGAACTTTTTTTTTTTTTTTTTGGTAACCTAATCTCCGATTCCTCGGCTCATTTTCGTGTTCTGCAGTCACTATTGCAGCTGGCGAACTACTACGCTATCTACACTCCGAGCGGCGGCAATAGCGGCCTTAGAACTCAGTCAAAGCCGCTGCTTGATCGAATTGGACTTTGCTATATCTTCACTAATCGCATTTCATGCTCCGTCGAAGTATGTAGCTAGCAATTTGCAATTTTGATAATCATTCCACACAACAAATTATATTTCGGTGTGCTTCTGAGTAGTTTTGCTTAGTTTTTTGATATACGAAATGAAGCATGATTGAATTCGTTTTATTTGAAATGTTCACGAGGCCACGGTTTTGGAGATTTATATTGACGTTTGGAAAGCCTGAATTTTGTTCCTCTTTTCAAATATTGACGTGGCGTTCAGTGGTGAAAAAATAGAAAGAAAAAGGAGTGAATAGCTAATTGATATTTTGAACTTGATAAAGTGCTTTTTTTCGTGTTTGTGATAGTGCAAAAAAGGATTTGCATTGATAAACAGTGATAGTTCATATGTTGTCCAGCTGAAGGTCGCCTATAGTCCAACAGGAAACTTCAGTCTCCGTGATTTTCACCATGCTGTGAACAATTTGCCTACTGATGCTTTTTCTCCCGAGTTTGACATTTCTGGTTCTCTATCTTGTACTGGTAACATGACTAATATGAATCAACGTTATATCTTTCATGTATATATCTATCTTGAAGTGTCCATAATATTTTAAATCACTTCTATTTCTGATTTATGGATTTACTTGATTAATGTAACAGATTTGAAAATTTCAAGCATTCTAAGTGATAATGTTCTATATTCCTGGGGAGGACATGCTAGAGATATTACAAGAAAAGTGTTTTTGATTAGTGCTTGCATAGTTCAGCATCTGGATGATGATACCAAAAAGGTTCTCATGGTGAGTAAACTGGACCGATGTCATTGATCTGTTATTGCACTAATGCAGTTATCTTAGCTCTCAGTCCAAATTTGATGGCTTTCTTTACCAGGATGCAGCAGACATGTGTGTTTCTGTGGAGTTTATTTTCATTCAGCACATAACAAACCATCTTGGTGATGGTGTTGAGAATATTAACAACTTCATAAAGCAAATTGGTGATCTTGAAAATTGCTCATTTCGATCCTGTCTTTCAGGTTAAGCACCATCCTTGCCTATCAAAGTTTCATCTCTTTATGCATTCCTGATCTTGCTTGTCTTGGAGAATGGAGTTGAGCATGTATGGTGGAAACTTGACTATCAGCTCTCTAAACCTAAACTGATTCCAATTCTCAACCACCCAAACACAAGATACACCTCTTAATTAAATCTACAACAACTCAACAGGATCTTCCTTTGAACATTGTACTATTGATGGGAACTGATAAAAAAATTTTGAACTTACTGCATATTAGGAAAGAGTTGTGGATGAATTATTACAGAACTATTTCATATTCTAAAAGAGTAATTTTGCAGATGCACATGTGTTTTCCAGAATGGCGAAACAATGGTTTCAGGAGCTGAAAGATGACATGGAAGAACCTCTACACTCTCGGTTTATCTTCAAGTCCAATCTGCTATACAATGTCAACCAGTTGTTATGCAACTTGTGTAGATGTTTCAATCCTGTAGTTGATGGGTTCATTCCTTGTCAGGTAAATAATGCATACCTAGAACATCTATTGTTTTATACTCTTACTCCTGACAAAAATGAGATAATCATATATTTAGTTTGTTTTCTAATGCGCCTACTTTTCATGTAATTTTGGCCATCAGACATGTTGGTGTCACGGCATTCCACTTGACAAATCAAATGTGGACCAGAGCAAGGGTTCTTATTCTTGTCCAGAAACTGGACAAGATCTTCGAGAATTGGATCTGAATGAAAACTCTGTCAAAATTGGAGAGAATACGATCTTGTTTATGCCCTCCTTTGAATGCCGTCAGAAGCTACCACAAATAGTTTCACCAATTGATTTCCATGTCATTGAACGAACTCCTCTAGGGTCACTAAATGAAGGTAGTTTTGTCCTTTGGAATAACTGCATTTCATTCTTCAATCACAAAAGAAAATCAGTCTCTGGAGCTTGTTTTATTCCTTAGAGGGGAAGGATTATCCTTATTTTACCATAGGTTGTCTTTATTGGAACTTACATAGACCATCTCAGTTCTTTCCTCCAGAGCTTCTGGCCTGTTCATTCTCGATTAAGAGTTGAATGGTGTTCCTTGATTTTCAATTGCTTGTAATTAGATTTTCAATTAATTTCTTTTAAAAAATTAGTTTACTCTGAAAATTTTCTCTAGAAAGATAAGTATGAACGTTAGATACTCCACAAACATCTATATAAAAAGGGCCCGAAGATTGAGTTTTAACACTTATCGTTTAAGATGGATGGGGATCACTCTTTCCAGGCTAGTTGTATGCCACTAGATATCGGTTGTATAAGAACATTACTTAATCAAGGCGAGGCCACTTGATCTTGCTTCCAGTTGTTATACTGCAGTGTATTGATGCTGTAGTGATCCAATGAGTTCACTGCTTGTGCAAAAGATTTAGAGTCTTGCAGGACTTTGGTCTAATAACTCCTCAGCATAGACTTGCAGTTAATTTTGTTTTTTATTGTGTTATGGAACAGGGTTTATTTTTGGTGCTTCATATGTTGTTGCTCCATCAACATTTAATGAGTTTGATGAGACTGACAAGTCAGAGCAAAACAATCAACGTATGGACAGGGATTTCCCTCTGTTTTATATGTAGCAATGCATCTCTTATGTCAGATGCTGATCGTGGTTTTAACTTTAGTTGGTTAATTGTGGGTGATTATTGGGAAAGGCATTTTACAACTCCTTTTCTGCTTTTGCCTTGTTCTGTGGCAGTTTTTCAAGTGATCTGTCATCTACTAAATTCCCTTGATCAGGGTTTGGTTTGTTCTTCAAATTGCAATGTTGAAAATATGAGGGAGACTTCCTTTCTCTGCTATTACCTTCTACTGCCTTCAGATAAAGGGATGCTTCTCCGGGTAATTGGTCTGATACTCATTGGTATATGTTTTCTTTCAACTTCTAGTTACATTTTCCTCTTCTGCACTATTTCTTCCTCTCTGTCCATTCTGTTGTAATCATATTGTTCGCTATTGAAGTTTTGCGTTGGGTCATTTCCTTTGTCACTGATAGTGTTTGAGGAAATACTTGTCAGTAAGATAACAGTATTGATCTACAGAAAATTAAAATTCTTTTTATGTTACTTTCTTAATAGATTCGGATTGTCTTCTCCTAATTTTTGTACAGTATAGAAGAATTTTCTTCCTGCTTAATGCCCTATTTGAGATTGCCAAATGTGTGTTCTTTCAAGGGTCAGCAAATTTTTTTATTGCTTGTCTCTCTGCCTCATAGTTGTTCTGAGTAATGTATATCATGGAATTTTTAGCGGCTTGTGGCATCAGAGGAAATCTTGCCTGTTGTTGATGCAAATCAATTTACTTACCCTACAATGGCCAAAGAAATGGAGAGCTTGGTTCGGTCCTCTTTGCTTAAGGTTTTATTCTCTCTCTCAATCCTTGCACTTGCACCCACACACACTCACAGATGTGCATGCACACAAACAAACAAGCGCACGCACACACACACACACATCATTGTTCCTTTTCCTCATACATGCGGTCTATAAAGATTACATGTGTGTTAAGGTGTGATTTATATTAATTTTAGATGTTAATTTGAGATGATTTCTTCAATTTGATGAGTGAGAACAAAAATACATCAACATGCATGCTTAAAGCAAAAGAGAAAACTCACCGCATTTTCTTTGGACAAGGAATTGGTCTTTCTACATTCTAAAACTATAATTTTCATGTCTATCATTGTGCCCAGATTGAAGCAAGTACCTACTGTCCACTACAGCATGAGAGAGGCTTCCATCAGAAACTAAACTTCCTTGTAAAAGAGAGTCTACAATTTGGGTAATCATCTTGTCTTTAATCCTTTGGCATCATTGTGACTGTGCATAGGATTTAGTTGCAGATTTCCCATTATTTGATTATGGATGACTGGGTCCTCTAAGTGAAAGAGGAGTCCGCCTGCCATTCAGGGTTTTCACTTAATGGAAGTGTAATATTTGCAATGTTCAACAATAAGATTCACCATCCTTTTGTCTTCAGAAAGTCTCTTCACATGAATAATCAGTTGCCAAAGCCAGTGGTCTTAACATTTTAGGCGAGGAGTGAAATTCTCTGCAAATATGAAGTTGTGTGGCACAAAATTGTCCTGGTTTTCGCAGTTGTATTATGCATTATGTTTCAGTCATTTGTGCTAGATGAAATACAAAGCACTTCTCATATTGCATACTTCCAGAATTACCATTTTGAGTTTTTATTACAAAAAACTGGTGCATTTTCTGAATTTTATATCTATTGATGTGCTATACTATTTCTAGAACATCTTACTGCACTTTCATTTGCATAAGTGCAATCTTAATACTAGTGGTTGTAAATGCAGCTGCATTTTTGAAGGTACAGCATTAATGCTGGGGAAGATTTTCTTCTTTGATAAATGAGAATCTCTTGTTACTATAATATTTCCATCTCTTCAGTTAGTTGTTTACAAGGAACCAATTTCGTAGATTGCCTTCCAAATTGGTTATATGAGCAATACCTCTGATGTTTTTATGACCAGGCTTGTGCACGGTGTTGGGGAACTACTGCTTTTGATTATTTCCTGATCAAAATTTTCTTTTTAACTTGTGTTTATTCAGTTTCATTTGCATTATCAAACCGTCCAATTTGTTCTTGATATATCAGATCACTAACTTGAGATTTGATTAAATCAGAGCAATACCTCCTAAGATTAGAGAAGCACCTGTAGACTTTTCGACTTTGAAAGACTCAGAAGAGGTTGTAGAACCAACCCAAGCAGCTGCAGTGGTTGTCACAAAAGAGAAAATGCCACCACTAAGTGAAGAAGTACAGGAAAACGAAGCCAATTCATATATTGAAGAGGAATGGGAACAATTGATTGTCACTGAACTACCCCAAATACATTCACCCATACAAGTCTCCAAGCCAAAATTGGATCATCCACTACCATCACCATCACAGAGCAATAGGCAAATAGATGAAAAAACTTCAAAAATCCTGGAGAGATTGGAGATTCCCAGGCAGTTAAAAAAAAAAGCAGTTTCACCCAAAACCCTGGGCATTGGCACTTCTCAGACATGCATGCTTACTAAGAAGCCTCTTATCCCTTACGGGCCTTCTCGTGCTGATGATCAGAGTACATTGGCAAGCCAACCAATAAAGCCCAATTTCCAAAAGCTAAAGAGGAAAAGATAATTGAAGGAAATTCTTATGTCGAGTCCAATGTCGCCCTGCACCGAAATGTTCACGAGGTTGGTCTTCTCACTCTTTTTTAGATGCATCATGCATGATCTTCTACCGTGTAATATCTGGTGGGCATCTGAAGAACAATGAGGTTCACCTTTTATTGATTCTGGGCCAGACAATCTGGTAACTAAAATTCTGTAAAACTTTGTCAGCATATACTGGTAGGAAATTTTCAAACAGCTACTAGTCTACACATTAAGCTCATACCGCATCAATCCTCTGAAATTTGTCTTCCAGAAATACGCATCATGAATCTTCAAATGGATGCCTTATTTTGCTTATAGCACCTCATATTCACAACTTCAAAATTTCACAATCTGTAGTTTAATTTCTGTGGCCCCAGTCCACTTTTTATAAAGTTCTTATAATGGAGTTGGATAGCTTCATGAAAAGATGGGCCTTGCTGTTGAAGTTTTCAAACACTCTTGCGCTTTACATCCCTAAAAATGCTCATTTATACTTATCAGGAAAACATGAGGGCATCCAAATTTAAAAAAAAGAAAAAGAAAAAGAAAAACTCACTACTGGCATGTAAGATGCAAAAATCACAATCCAATCCTATCTACTGAGCATTAGTTTACTTCTCTATTCAGTTGTTTCAAGTGCAGCAACGAGGTTTGATCATTTATTTTGCAGTAATTTTCACTTCTGCTCCTTTCTTGTTTACCATTATAGTTTCTCTTTTATTTGTTGTTGTTGCTGCTGTTCTTATTTTTCTGGTATCTCTATACAAGACAAAGAGGAGAGTACCCTCAAACCCTTGCATGAAGGAACTGTAAATTCCATTTTTAACCTAACTGGAGGTACGTTTTGAAGTTCAATTCATCTCTATGCCATGGCTAGCATTTTTTCTCTTTTATGCACATGCACTAGCATGAATTTAATCTTCACCTGGAATATCACATTGCTTAAAATAGATAACATGTTAGCCATGGCATAGAGCTCAACCTAGAAAATCTGGACATCTTAGGAGTTTTAGATGATGTCAAGATGTCTCTCCTCTCTCACATCTCAAGCTAATTGCCTAGTTTGCAAGCACTAGCTTGGGAAAGCGGACAAAATTTAGGCATTTATTTAACTTGCACTGCGACATAAAAAAATCTGGATGCGTGCATTATCTGCAAAAGATAGAGATGAGAGTTTTACGGCATAGCGAAACGTTAGATTGATGTTGCTTTTTAACCTTTTGAGTTAGACCATTCCATGATTGAGCTTCTTTTTCCAAATAATGCTGTGTGATTGAAGGCCCATTGGTCCTGAATATTAAAGTGGCATCCTTTAAGTGAAAGAAATATCATGTTGGATGAGACTAATACGAAGGTGACATGATGCTCATAAGTTGCTGATTCCAGAATCAGGAAAGGTGACGTAGGACTGGAGACGTGTTATGACCATTTGTGTAACTACCTGTCTGGAAGAAGATATTCCACTTTAGATCAAGTGATTCGTTTATCGTAATAGTGATTGTGGGAAATTGCATCTCGTAATTAGGCCCCACACATGCTGTTATATGCGTTAGGGAGGTTGCTGGATGGACGATCCTGTGCTTCCGCGTCACCATCAATCTTGTAGAGTTAAGCAGGCTTCCCTGTCGACTTGTTGAATCTGTAACTGGTAGGTGCTTGCTTGAATCCATTTGCAGGGGACATAATATTTGTCTATGTTCAAATAATTAGATCTTTTAGATCTATCGGCAACAACCAGAGATTTATATGTATATATGTATTTTTTAATTTGGAAACGGGTCAAAATTACTGTCCTCATTGTAAGCCTTCAGCCTCAACTCAAATGGGGCAGGTATAACTAAAAGCCGACCAAATTGCCAATTCATTTTCTTCATAGGATCAGATTACCTCCGCCTCTTGGTCCACCTTTACGTGCTATCTTGGTCATGTTTTAGTATCACGTCGTTTAGCAATCTTGATTAACTCGTGCCCGCTGGCAGATGCAGACACTACCGTCACATTACCTATGTAGAAACTGTATGTCACTCACAAACATGTATGAAGTGGGTATTGAAGCAATAGCAATATTATGCATCAGATTATTTCGTTAGGAAACCAGTGTGAAGTGTGAACCAGGTGACTATTATTTCGTTAGGATGATAAAACATGCATGAATTGTGAAAACATTGATGAATGATGAGTTTCTGGAAGCAAAAGAAAGTGGGAATACAATATGCAACAATATTTGGTGCACTTTCATTTCCAAGCGGATCATTACATTACATCTTTATTCAAGCGGAAAGAACAAATCAACTCTTGTATACAACAATGATAATACTTGTATAGAAAGATGTACATTGTATTACATTTACACGGTCAATAATTTGGGTTGGTGGCTGATCTTTTCCATTACACACCAAACATTACAGTAGTGCATCACCATTATCTTTACGCCTCCTCCATATAGTGTATTAAACAAACAGTATAAAAAACTAATTCAATTGGGAAAAAAAAAAAAACTCAGTGACTCCAAAATGACGCTTTCGCCATACTGCTTGTCAAGCCAGTCAAAACTATACTATACTATACTATATAGCATCTACTAATACTACTATCATCATCTGCTATACTCCAAAGTTTCAAAAAAATAAAAAATAAAATCTGGCATACACCAAATGATGGGTGGGCCACCAACTAAACAGGACCAATTCCACTGTTTTCTGGTCCTCCATTTCTCCTTTTCTTAAAGTCGTGATTGTCCGCCACTCCTACAAGTCCATGGTTGGTTGTTATTTATAACACATCACAAAGCCAACACAATAATAATATTTTCAAACTAATCTGCCATATCGTCTGTACAGGGTCGTGAGAGAGAGTGGAGTCCAGAGGGAAGGGCTTTTCCGGAGCCGTACGCGTTGAAAATTCCTTCTCATCAAAAGTTCTCTTTGTGGAAATCAAATTTGGTGGAGGTCTTGTGAGAAAAATCGGAAGCTAGCTGCTTCAATTCCTTGGTAAGTGCGGGTGCCCCACAGTAGAAAACCCCTGAAAATTGTGGAGACAAAAAAAAAAAAAAACTCCAAATTAGGAAAGTAAATAAAGTAGTAGAATTTTGAACAAAAGAAATGTAAAACAAAACTACTAGCTCCACATAAATATTTTATGTGAACGTAAAACACGATTCCAAGCTATCATCATCAAACAAAAGTACAACCACTACATTATGAACTGATAATATCTTTTCTCTCTATCTTTTTTTTTATTATATATATGTATATATATGCTTTTTCTTTTATAAAGGCTATGAGCAGAGTGTTACTTTTATCACCTTTATACATGTTTGGAATGGATATAAAGGCTGGTAGGGAAAAAGTTTAATGTTCCATACCAAGGGGAAGTCTTTACCTTAATGCAAACTTATCTCATACAACAAAGTTAGAATTCGACATTAGGCTGACTTTAATAAGCATGCATACACCTTTATTTATTGTTCTCTTACGAGAGATGGGGCTTTGGATGACGCCAACACCTAAATAATAAACTATCCTAGGAAAAGAAATAATATTTGGCAAAACCAGTTTCACAGGATACTATTAAGCTAAAAACATGACAAAAATTAAGTCATAATGAGAACAAGGATGTATATATCCATTAGGTGAAATTACATATACTAAGACCTTCTTCTTCTTCTTCTTCTTTTCTTTTTTCAGAGGAAATATATAAACTAGGAGCTTGAATAGAAACTTACCAACTCTTGCACTCGTATGATTGAGAGCGATGCGTTTGTACACGTTACGCCAATTTGGCTTGGCAAAATGAGACTTAACGCGGGTTCCGGAAACAATATCAACTCCATGTTTGGCATGGTTGAGTGACTGAAGCATAGTGATCAGGGCGGATCGAGCATCACCTTCTTCATAAACACTAGTACAGTAGTTATGCATCTCTATCACTCCCTTCTTGTCCATTTCAGCAACTTCGTTCATTATTCCCTTGAACCAATCAAATGAACCTTGTTCTCTTGTGACCCAGTAGAAATACGCCCTCTTTGTTTTGAAGTTCCCTCCACTTCCTGACCCTGATTTTCTCTTCTGTGTCAAGGGACCAGAATTTGGAGGAACAGGGCCGCCGTCTTCTGGTGCTCTGGTGCCATCCTCCAAGGCACTCTCCTCTGCTTCAATGGCTTTCATGTTGTTCACAATATCTTTAACTATGCTGATCATCGGCGTTGCCCCTATTCCCAGCCCCACCAGCAAGACCACGTCGTATTTCTTGTAGTCTTGTGCTGGCGCTCCATATGGTCCATCAATCAACACCCTTGGGAAACTGTTCATCACGTTTGTCCAAACATTAGAGTCAAAAAATCATGTTATCTTCCACATGGCACAAACTAGAATCTTTTCACTCTCATAATCCCTTCTGCCCATTAGACAAGAAATTTAAAAATGCAAAATCTTGACTCGTGAATCACGAAATAGAAAAGGCACCAATAAGGTTACTTAACGTTTGCCTCCTTCAAATTGAAGTCTTTACTTTACGGGTCTCCGTACTTTAAATGCATGAACGTGAAAGTTGTAAAAGTAATAAAGATGCTACTTACTTGGGATTGTTTTCTCCTTGCAAACAATCAGCTCGGAGGAGTCCGCTTTTCCCTGTAGGTGGAGGCTGACATACCTAACCAAGATCACATTACCAAAGCAATGGTATATAATTTAGTAACATTCTCAAAAAAATCAATAAAAGTACCCCCAACCTCTGATAGACTAAGGTAAACGTAGATCACACAGTATAAATTGTTTTTTCCTTCTATTCAATACTTGAATTCTAAAATATCCAACTAAAATATATTTTCTTCTTTTTTTCCCCCTGGCATTTTATACTGCATGGATTGGACCTTCTCAATCAATATGTATATATATACATATACATATACATATATATATATTTGGTCGAGGATATGGGAAAAGAGTCAGATATTCTGCTGCAATAATTGTGAATGCAATGTGTAAAACTGGTTAGTAATACTAGGACCATGGTCTGTGATTATGATGGTTTGTTGGGATCCTATAATTAAGGTGCTAACTTCAAAGATCTGCAGGATAATCGTTGAAACTTAAGATTACCACTTAAACATCAAATGTCATTTTCTACTTCGCTATTAGTTGTTACTTGTTCCCTTGATATAATAGACTTTTCAAAGACAACTGTATTCGAAAGCTCAAGTAGAATGGATGAGTACTAGAAGCAAGCATTACAGCTACAGCAACTCCAATAATGGCATATTAATTATTGCTTTCTATATATATATGTATAGCAAATTCAATTCCATACTGTTACATAACATGGGAGAAAAAAAATTTCGCAAATGGGAGGAATAGGAAGCCTCAGGCTTAGGCTCACCTCTGAGAAAACAGTTCTGAGTTGTCTGGTCCAGTCACCAAGAGTTCGAATATGGACGCTCAAGTAGTCATCTCTAGGGGCTGAAGTTATGGAGAATGGGTGCCTGCATATTTTGGACCACTAAGGGTTAGAAGAAGCATACGCCTTAAATCTAGGCTAGAAAAATATTAAAGGGTTCACCCTGAAAATGGATTATAAATTATATGTACAAAAGAGGACTAAAAAGAAGGGTCCTATGCCCCAACTGAATTGGAGTAAATTCCTTGAAATCACTCTTTTTTTTTCATAGAAAATTGTATCTTCTCATAGAAAATTCCTTGAAATTGTTCTTTATGTAATTTCAGTCATATGGTTAATATTTTACATGTGTAATGAACAAGCAAAATTTAGAAAAATTGATTATCACAATTCACGAGTAAAAGTTGACTGAAAAAAGATCAGCTACCATTCGAATGGAGACACAGCGGCGCAGTTGACGAACATGTACTGCCCACTTTTGTATTTGAAGCCCTGCGGCTTTGACATGTGAAGAGCCAACACGTTCCCGGGATAAACAGCCACCTACCAAAACAAATTAGTGCACCAAAAATTGTTAGTTTGTTTCTTTTTTTCTTTTTCTATGGTTGAAAGGTGTACGATTCTTTCATTCAGTAAAGTAAAAAGTACGTGGATGCTAATCATAATTACCTTGAGTATTTTAACAGCCTTAATACTTGACCTAAATGCTCTGATCAATCTTTCACCAGCATAGAGTGCGATTGGAACTGCCAGGTACATCCATGTCTGCCATTGCCAAATTAAATATGAAGAATACGTGCAAGGTTTCAGGGAATTGAATGCTTGTTTTTATGCCAATAAAAGATTTGATATGATAGAAATATCATGATCAAGATTCAAGAATGAAAATGTGTACTCACCGTCTTCTTGTACCATTTGTGGGTCAAGTAGAGCCTGACACCATGAACGATGAGGAGAGCGTAGACAATGACAAAAAGGTGGTGGGAATACCAGAAGGCGTTGAAGCCAGTGAGTTTCTTGAAGGGTCTTGGTAGGTTGACCCTGTTACGCCTAAACCATGGGGTGGCTAAGGTGAATGCTATTGCCATCAGGACCACCATTATGATCCCGGTTACTCCCTCCACGCTCTTCACAAAATGCCAATAGCTTGCAGGTTGTTCTACTCCAAAATAAGGCTTCAATGCCTGGTATTTTGCAGGAGATGCATGTAGGATCCGAGGGAAATCACACGATAGATGAGCAATTGCATGTATTCCGACACCAATTGCTATTGCCACTGCTATCACCTGTAAGAAAATTCATACAGCCATTAGCCTAGTTATGTTTGGTAACTTGCAATT